AGTTTTGCCAATAGTTTCATATGGACCATAAAACAGGTATTTCTTACAACCCTCAGGGTCAAGCTATTGTAGAATGAGCTCATTTTTCTAGTAAGCTACAATTACAAAAACAGGAAGGGGGAAGTAGAACTCCCCAAAATATCTTTAATCATGCCATGTTTCTTTTTAATTTTCCATACATGTGACTCAGAAGGTCGCCCTGCAGCTGAGTGATACGTCTTCCACAGCAACAGGTCCTTTAGGTCAAGTTTGGCGGAAAGATTAAAAAACAGGTCAATGGAAAGGCCCAGATCTAGTGATAATGTGGAGTAGAGGTCATGCTTGTATTTTTCCCAGAAGGTGCATTTTGTCCTCTTTGGATACCTGAATGCACCATCAGACATGGAAGAACTAGAGCCAAGGTTCAAACAACTGAGGAGTGACCCAGACATGTCAGCCCTGACTCCCAGCAAGAAGAGGAACCTTCAACGGAAAAGGGGGGAAAAAAAGATGGCCCAGAGAGACCCAATGGTAAAGCTACCCTCATGGAAGCAGTTGAGGAATCTGATGATTCAGCAGCAAGACCAACTCAGCCTCCAGCTGTGATGCTAGTAGCAATGCTAGTTCTGCTAGTTCTGTGGAGCTGCCAGGTGAGTGGGACACAGGGAAAAGCTTATTGGACTCATTTTCAGGTCCATCTATAGGACCCTCAGCAGTGTGGACTGCAGAATCCATCCCAGTATTTGCCAATGACTCATATGATGGGAGGATTGACAGACACCAATGTTACTCCATCCATTTGACTGGACTTAATTATTCAGGCTTTAGTGCTCAGGTACCTATGTGCTGGTCTCCCTCAATAAACATGCTGGCTGACTGAGAGTGTTCTTGGAGGAAAAGGCAGCAGTTTGGGGGCCTAGACCAGCTAATCATATTGGTTCTTGGGGACTCAAAGCCATACATTAGAACAGTTATGAAAATGGGACTTCCTTGTAACAAGCAAGTAATTTCAACAGAACTTCCACTCAATGTCCTAACCATTCTACAATAGAAATTGGCACTTTTGCTAAGTGGATGGATTGTATAAATACCTTGCCAGTACAGTTTAGGGTGTCTAGAGCTAGTGAGTATATTTTAGACTGGTCTCCTAGGATTGACAAGATTCAATTATGCAAGGGTACTGCCACGACCCCTGGACGATTTCTTAGGAACACCTTGACCTTTAACCAAAGTGGCACTCAGAAAGATGTTTGGTGTTTGATTGCTGCGTCAGAGTTTTTACATTTTACTGACAAGCCTTTACCTGACTTTTTAGGCAGAATTTTAAAGAAATTCTTGTGTGGCCTGAGAGTCTGTGTTCAATATTCTTACATATTAATTACTGGAGATCTGAAATGTAAAAGAAAGATGATTAATATCTCGTAGCCTGTAATAGATGCAATTTAACTAATTGTATAACATGGTATAGTCGAGGGAAGGGAAGAGTGATAGTTCACCAGCCCTCTTTTGTCTTATTTCCAGCTAATATTTCAGAGCCATGGTATGCTGATGCTGCTTTTCAACTCTTACAACAAATACATGGCCAGCTGACTGGACCTAAGCAACCTCTTGGACTCTTCATACTTGAAGTGGCTGCCTTAGTTTCATTTATTGCTTACTTGGTCACAGCTTTGGTGGTCATAACTCAAAATGCCCAGCCTGCAAATCTTCTGAATAATTTGGCTAAGAACACTTCCAAAGGTCTTCACAATCAGAAAATTGTTGATGAAAAGATTGAAACTAAGTTAAATACCTTAGAAGGTACTGCCATAAATATTGGTAATGAGCATTCAGCTTTAAAGTTCTAGAAAAGGCTCCAATGTCACACTGATTATAAATATGTGTATGTTACTGCTCCCAAATACATTGCTTCCAAATCGAATTGGAAAAAGGTTAAAAACCATTTATTGGGTATTTGGGCAAAGAATAGCAACAGCTTGGATCTTTTGGAGTTACATTATCATATGAAAGATAAAAAAAAGTAAGGTTGATTTGTCAGATCCTACCTCTTTAGCCAATCAAATATTTCAACAATTAAACGGGTTTTTACCCTGGAAACATTCTAAAATATTATGCATAGCATATTATTGGACTGTTCTCTTTGCTGTTAATTCTCTCTTGTATTGTAATCATAGGATTTTGTGCCTTCCACGCAAGAATTCAGGAACTGGAGAGAGGAACTCATCAGTTACTTTTTCAAAGTGGGGATGTGTGGGGAATCACACTGAATGATCATGCCTTTGAGTCCTGAAGCAAGAGGTTCTGAACAATTATTGTGTTCCCCAGTAACTTGGGCTTTACCTCCACTGGAATAATAAGGTGTGGCTCCAGGAGTAAGCGTTGCCCCCTGGGGATAAGTTACACTCACCTGTTCCTTTGTAATCCTATTCCTTTTGCCCTTTTTCAGATAGAATGTTCCAAGAAATAGTGTTCCCCAATAAAAGGCCACTTCAGAACGTGCACTCCCTCTGTCAGTCTCTCGATTTTTTTCTTGCCCCTTTGGTGAGAGCCTGAGGCTGAGAGCTGGGGAAGCCATGGTGAAGCTTATAAAAATGTCTGTGTTATTTTGTGTCACCCCAAGTTCACACGAGTGGCTTTAGTTCAGTTGCCTGCACTGAACGCGGGCACCAGCACAGCTCCCATTCCTTCCAACTTGAAGAGCTGAGCCCCAGATTCACCCTGGTGCCTGTTGTGTATGAAGAAGAGACTGCAGCTCAGGGAGAGGAAGTGGACATGCCCTCTACGGTCTACATGCCTTGATCTGTGTTCAGACACAAAACTCAGTTCAGACACAAAACTTTTGGAGGGCAGTCATAGTTCAGAAAACTGTATTGAATGTGTTATTGGACAAACGGCAAAAAATTTACCAAACGGTTAATAAATTATTGGAAATGTGAAGGAGGCACACAGGCTCAATACCTACTCTGATGGCATCTCAGAGATTCCAATATAATCAGAAAAAGCACCTGAGTGTGTGTTTCCAACATCAAAACCCATATTGTAATCCCATCATCACAGGAGTTATGCTTGCTACTGTGGAAAATAGAAAAAGACTTGCACATATTATTTTAATGTCATTTTTCTCATGTGTTATTTGCTTACACAAAGAAAGACAAATTGGTATAAAAATTATGTATTTGAGATTATAGAATTAAAACTTTTTTAGGGAGGAGACAATATCCAAATATATATTATATATATATTTTGATATTATATATATAATATATATATTATAATTATATATATATATTTGGATATTATATATATATATATATATATTATATCTATTATAATTAGGGTGGATTTCATAGGACACACTATACCTTCACAGGACAAGAACCATGTTTGCAGGGTGACCCAGTTATAGGAACTGCAGAGAAGCTTGTGTTTAGAAGGTGAGCAGCACAGCCCCTGGGAGAAGACCCTGGCCTCATCAGCTACAGT